GCCCCGGTCCATCGAATCGAAATCGGAGATAAACCCAACGTTGGCAGCAGCGGCAGAGTGAGGCGTAATCGAGGAGGAGGGAGGCGGCGGCGGGACTTGAATCCACTGCTTGGTGTAAGGGTTGCAGACGGCATAACTGGCTGGAAAATCGTCGAACACCGGGTCGGCGTACATAAAGAATCCCGTGTACTTTGGCGTGAACAGCAGTGGGGCGCAGAGGAGCAACCCATTGGATGAACCCAGAATGAAGTCCCTGTTGGAGTAGTAACGCTTCTTCTTAGGCCACCGTCGTGAATTGAGTATTTCCTGGATCCGCTTCTTCTTACTTTCGACGTCTGGTATTGCATTGAGCATGGCTTGTTGACCGGATAACCATGTATACAGCTGCTTCTCCTTCTCATAATTCTTCTTGTCGTCAGCTGCTTGCTGGAGGATGTGATTGTAATCGCTGGCTCCGCGTAATTGTGGGAGATCCGGAACGAAATCGAGCGAGAATTCGAGCCTCTTCCTCGCGCCATCGTCGTTGTGGTGTTCATTAGTGGCGATCAGGACCGGTGAGTTTTGCTGGGGGTGGGGGTGGAGGATGCAGCTGAGCTTACAACTCTGCTTCTTCTTCTGATTCTGGTTCTTCCTCGAGTAGTCAGCACGAAAGATAGGGTTTTGAATGAGAGAGAGCCAGGGTTTGCAGACGGATTTGCAGCGGAAGATCTGATCCAGAGGGAGACGTATCAGAATGTCGGTCAATAACTCTTCCCCAACATCATTAATCATACAGAGGTTACAAGAACCTCCTCCTCCTCTGCTCTTCTTTATTTCCCCTGCTGCATTGCCCTCTGCTTCTTCCATCTAAACAACAACAAAACCCTACAAACATTGAAACAAACAACTACAATACACCACAATTCGGAATTTTGTCATTATTCATACCGGATTCGCGCAAGGAAGGAAAGATACCCAGCGAGAGATTCCCAAATAAATTTTCATATCTCGGCGGCCATAATCTTTCTGTTAATTTTTCAGTCCAAATCCCAAATCCTAGTTCTAGATTCTGTGAGCTCGATGATTCTCTATAAGAACTTAGTTAGTGACGCAAAAAAAAAAAAAAAAGACCCGAAGGAGAAACGTGTCTAACCTGTACGAATCGCCTGACAGAGCTCCGGCGCAACGGAGAGTGACGAAGGACCACCCAGAGAAGAGGCTGCCGAAACAGGGGAGATGGAGATTAGAGAAGTATCGCATTATTATAATTATTTTATTTTAATAAGTACTAGCAAGGAAGCCCGCGCTACGCGGCGGACTGTGAATTTCGTCATAGATAATCACAGTTATGGCACCTTCCATCAGTCTCAGCCCTCTGTTTTTCTTCCAGGAGCTCCCGTAAATTAGCACCAACACTCAACAAAGAAACAAATTATGAGTGGAGCTTCAATAACCCTCCAAGTACCTCTGTTCACAACCCTTGCAATGACATGGCAAGTTTCAAGTTAGCTTGGTCTTTCTCCTCAAACGTTTGATAAACCCGAGTGGTGGAGACTGGAGACCCAATTCAATAACACAAATCTGGATAAAAAAGATGGTGTGACCAAATTAATTAACAAAAAGCTGTGAAAGAGTTGTACGATCGTCATAGAGAGAACGATCACAATAAATAAATGTTCAATCCACATTTGGATGCCTTGGTAGCTGGTGTCACATATGAGAGTTGAATCTCTCTCTCAAAACCGTGCTTCGTGGTCCTTGCAAACAAACAAATAACATGCTTTACTTAAGTCTCATCTTCATACACAATCGCTTAATCGGCCAAAAAAAGGGCAATTAGTTTGAGAGCATTAAACTGAAATTGAAAACACCACAACAACCAACTGAAAATGAATGAAAAGTGTTGCGGTTGGTATCTGGAAATTCTAGTAAAGAGATGCCTCATTGTTAGGGATGACATTTATAGCCGTAACCGCGAGTATTCGACCCTACCCAACTCGATCAATGAGGGGAATCTCCGCATTGACTGGGTATGGGGCGGATACGGATAATACCCGCAAAGAAGTTTGTGGGTATGGGACGGGGATGGATTTGAGTGCCTCCGCCCCATACCCATATTCGCCTCATCATTACTTATGTCATATATTATAAACTATAACTATTGTAACGTAGGAGTTGTAGTTGGCAATTTTTATGTTCTTTCATCATTAATATACTTTTTTTTGTATAATGATTAATAGAATTTGTTTCTCTACGAAAGAAGAACTTTGGAGGATAATTTGACTTTTATGTGTGGATTTTTATTGTTTAGGAGGTGTTTTGGAGATGAATAAGTTGGTGTTGGATTATTTATTGGTACTTTGTTTATGGAACTAATTAAGATTACCAGTGGTTCTTTATTAGGTTCATCATTGATTAAGTTTGATGTTTCAACCCAATAGTTGTATGTTTTATTGAAAACAAGTCTGTTAATTTAGTTATAATCATAATCAGATGTACGGGGCGGGGATTACCCTCGGGTATCCGAAACCCGTGGGGATGGGGATGCAAAATCTCCCCCCGCATGGGGATGGGGAGGGTATGGATTTGATAATTGAAAATGAGGATGGGTTTAGTACAATCCGCCCCAAACTCGACCCATTTCCATCCCTACTCATTCTTTCATATATTAATAATGATCATGAGAATGAGGGCACTGACAGTAGGGTGTTAGCATCTCTCTAGTTTGTTCATGATTATTATATAGAGCCATTATAGATTAATTAAGTCACTAAATCGTCATGTTTATTAAAGAATACATTTCGAGAGATGCTAACACCCTACATAAGACAAACATAAACCTTTTGATTTTCGTCTTTCGAGGAGAATTTGTAGGGGAAATAGCTAACAGGTTGTGAGAATTTGAAACCACTGCGGGGAACAAAAACTAATTCTAAGCATGAACTAAACAAACACCAAAATGAAAAGAAGATTATAAATGGAACATTAAAGGCTCTTACCCAAGCAAATCACAATGCAATGGTTGGACTAAATGACGGCACTTGAAGAACACATCTTTTGCCAGCCGACTACAGTTTTGGCTAGTGGATAGTAACTTGCGATTCATGAGTTAGAATGACACGAAAGACATCCCAAGTGACATATAATCAATCGATGTTCAAGTAAGACTATGCATGTAGATATCCTCAATGACACGAAAGACATCCCAAGTAACATGTAATCAATCGATGTTCAAGTAAGACCATGAATGTAGATATCGTCAACGACCCATGAAAAGTGAACTGACATCAGACTAATGATATTATGGGTAAGTATATACTTATTATAGGGATGAGTTAAAATAACTCTTCCTCTAGCATATTCATCAACAACTAAAAGGAAGAAAAGGTCCCTTCTGGGGAACATTGTAATAGTCATGCATCATTCTTGCATGAGATCAAGCACTGATCGCTCACAATTTCAGTCTGCCTCTCTAAATCTTTTATTGGTATAGCAGCAATACAATCATGCGAAATATGGATTCTGGTCATGCAAAGAAAACGGTTCTCACCTAAGTCTCCATTGTTGGAACCATCACCGGTGTCTATTGCCGACCTTCCTATTGTCAATGCCATCTTCCTTTCTTAGTACGCTAGTTGTTTCATCGCCCAATTTGGGAGATGGGAGATTGTGAAAGAGAAAGAGACAAGAGAGAACAATCGAGGTGGACGTTTTTCCCCTTCTTCCTCCTTCCCGATCATCTCCTTCCCGTTAGAGAAAGGGAAAGATCCAGATGAAATAAAATTGTGACTTTCATTATGAAAGAGAGGAAACACATAAGGAATTAAGGAAGGAAAAATAAATAAATTAAAAAAGTCCCACTGATTTGACCCATAATTAAAAGAGGGCATAAATTATTTTATTTGAAAGGCGGACAATCACAAAAAAGTTAATCCTTTTTTCAAAATTTTAATGTCCCCATTGATTTTGTATCCATGCAACCTACCTGATCTTCTCCTTCCCGTTAGAGAAAGGGAAAGATTTAGATGGATGAAACAGATGGAAGAAAATTTGTGACTTTGATTATGGAAGAGAGGAAGCGTATAAGCAATTCAGGAAGGAAAAAATGAAATTAAAAAAGTCCCGTTGATTCGACCCATAATTAAAAGAGGGCATAAAATATGAAGGTTTTCACTTCTCAAACTAAAAGATGGCATAAATTCTTTTATTTGAAAGGCGGACAATCACAAAAAGTTAGTCCTTTTTTCAAAATTTTAATGTCCCCATTGATTTGCCTCTAGTCTCTAGAGTTAGTATCCATGCAACTTCTCTACAATTAAATGAGGGCATAAAAATTGAAGGGAGAAACCAGCAAACCATGGCAAGCAAGAAATGGCAGAAACAATCCCCATTGATGATAAATTAATTTTTTAATACCCTATTGATTTGACCCTAATAAACAGTAACCTTAAAACCTCTCTTTTAAGTATATAAAATTGTAATTGGATTAGAGATGTAGGGCTGACCGAGTTCGACAATTTCGGATCAACAAACAGGCCCAACGGGACAGACGGACTGGGCTTGCAAACAGAGATAGTATATCCTTTTTGTGCCCATCGTTTTTTTTTATAGAAACCTGTGAGAAAAGAAGTTATGTCACTTATGTGCATACTGGGTGTCGAACAACGTTTTTGTGCCCATCGTGATCGTGGTTAAATAAAAACAAAAACCGTAGAAGAAATGACATGACATCTATCCGTAGTGGTGCATTTTGTTGGTCATGTTGCACGTGAATTATAGGATTATGATTTCTTCAAAAATATCTAAGTTTGGAGCAGTTCGCTGGACACTGAGCGAACCACTGTGGATCTCATGCTGCGACGGGAGGCAATGTTGCACTGTTGCTGGATGTGTCGGGATCGATGGTGGCGGCTAGAGGTCGCTGCTTGCCAGGTAATGTATGGATAGCGTGTTTACATTGTTGGAGATGTCATCGACATACTCGATTGAGTTCGTGGGTTAGCAAGGAGATGGGCTAGCTCGCTATGTGGCAAGAAAAAGCCCTCTGGAAAAATGTAATGGAAAAGCTTCACTTTCTTATGCATGAATTGATCTCTCAACTACAATTAAGGCAGTGAAGAAACCAGACTCTTGTTTAGGGCACAGACTATACATACAGCACACAATAATCAAGCATTGAGGTTGAGGAGGAGCAAAAAGGTAACCATCCATAGTAGTGTGGAAGAAGAACAAATGAAATTTTTTTACCTCGCTGGATGTCTGCTCGGGCTATTCTACATTTTGCATGGGCAATTTCCTGCTTAATAAATAAAGTATACACAGATCACGAAGAGGCTGCTGGGTCAGGCTCAGAAGCCTCTGCTGCAGCAGCTCTTTTCTTTGCAAAGTATTCATCAGCTCTAGCAAGGTTCTTGAGAACTGCTGGCTTCAGCCACTTCTTTCTGCCAGGCAACACGGTGATCGAGCAGCCAACAGATTCCAGCTTCTCCCTGGCTGAGGTCGAAAAGGCACGAGCTTTAAAGTTCAGCTTCACATCTAGCTCCCCGTCACCTAGGATCTAAAACCCATAAATTCAGAAGTGAGTGATAAACCAACAGCCAGAACATCTTGGACAAACTATTGCATATCAATGGAGCTACCGGAAGAGATATGAAGTTTACTAGTTAAACCTAAATACAAAAATTAAGTCTGAAAGAGCATAAAATGTTCTACTTTAAAGCTTTGAAAACACAATTACACCACAATAGATGTCAAGGAGCAGAAGTGCAGTGCTCAGAGTCAGAGAGGGGTTCCACTGGTTCTTTGCACCACAGGAAAAAACAACTTAGCCACCAAGCAGAAGCGAATTCTCATAACATATGAGTCCTTTCACACACTGTTATGCCTCTATTTCACAAATGGAGGTCATAAGCCATATCAGATATGCACAATGGCTAAGTCAATCTACATACACGAAGTTAGGAGTCTTTAATCCAACACCAATGAGCACTTAATGCCATGGCATTGATATGATCACATAACTACTGCATGATTGTGAGGCAATGAGGTAACCTGCAGCACCATCATAACAAAGTTGAAGCCAGACTCTTCCCACTTGAACAGTTCTCAGGTTTATGACTGATCAAATTACAAGTTCCTAAGATCACATTTAATGATTTCGATAAGGTTACAGTATCACATTAAATGATCCACTCTACGCTTTCGAAATCAACGCTAATGCATGAGTCCAGTTCAATAAATTTATGAGAGCAGCAGATACCCGACTTTTGGGGAGTGAGAACTCTTTGACCAGTAGGGACAGCAAACTCTTACGCAAGCTATAAACCGCCCATATGAACAAGCAGAGCCAATGCAACTAGTACCAGTCACAGTTATAAGCCGGAATATATCACTCATAAGGTCATACCTTGAGAGGAAGTCTCCTTTCTCTCCCCGATGGATTGATTAAGCCCTTCTCCTTCAAACTCTCCAGTGAAACCTCCTCACCCTCTTGAAATCCTGCTTCTGCTATGTCCTTTAAGTTTACCGGGACATATTTAGGTAAACCAGCATGCATACCTTCCACAATACAAAAGGACAAGCGGATCATATCAATTTCTGTAAGTCGACAAGTAGAAGCTTGAAATGAAGATAACCAAAACAAAACAATATTGACCAACTAGTCCTAGAAACAACACGAAACAGCTAGTAAGGGGCAAAATAGCAGCCAGTGATCAGCCAGAGATCCTCATCAAGCTTCTTACAAACTCATGATCAAAGTTCACAAGTTACAGCAACATTCAGTACTGCAAACTGAAGGACATATCACCTCATATGAGATTGAACAGTGAAAAAGTTCAGTGCCCTAATCCTTCCATTGAATCCATCTCAAATTTCAATGATGCTATCCAACCAGGCAACTGAATTATCCGCCTAAAGGCCCTAAACATCCATAGCTAATAGCATCCATTATTCGACTACAAGTAAAGGAATCCAGAAAACTATTACCTCCAGCGATTCCCCGCAATTTAGGGATACGACGGTAGAGAGGCATCTGCCCACCCTCGAATCCTCTCATCACGCCAGGACCCGACCGGGATTTCTGTCCCCTCATCCCAAACCCGCAGCTGTTACCTTGCCCGGCGGCGATACCTCTTCCCTTTCTCTTTGCTTTCTTCCTCGAACCTGGCTGCGGCGCCAGATTGTTCAGCCGGAACCGCTCGCCAACCGCCGGAACCGCGGCCGCAGCAGAGGCCCTTTTGTTGACCACCATGAATGGTCTCGCCTGAGGTCTGCTCGTCGAATGGGTCCCGGAGAGCGGATTGAAATTGCATGGTTTTGCTTTCAGACTCGTCACATTTCCCTAGAGAATCAATAATCCGCGGAAATTTTTTACATTGCAATGGTAGTTGAGAGACAAAGGAGAAGTTTTTATGGAGGAAGAAGATGGGTAATTGCCGTACCTTGAAAAGGGAAGAAGGACCGGATATGGTTAACGATGTTCTGATTGGAGTGGTGGATACAAGAGCCGCCATTGACGAGGAAGGAGATACAGGAGGAGCTCTGCCTCTGCGCGCTAAAGTGACCAGCTGAAAACTTAAAGTTTCCAACGGATATGGATAGGCTGGGAATTGGGAAAGAGTAAATTCCATGTTGGTCATCGGGTTTAATAAAATATGTCTGATCACTCTTTATTAGTCTTCTTTCAAATTTGTTAAATAAAGTCTGACATGGCAAACAGAATCGTCTAATCAATCAAATTTAATCCGAAAAATACTAAATCCGACCCGCCACATCATCACAACCTGCCTTTTCGGGTTAAATCCGGCTGACTAGACGATTTTATTTGCCATGTCAGCACTTAAAGGACTTTATTAACGAAGTTGTATGGAGACAAACAGAGAGCGACCAAACATGATATATTTTACCAAACTTAGTGACCATTATTGATATTTATTTTTTCCAGTGACTAAACATAACACGTGTTAGTAAACTCAGTGACCAAACTTGGAATTTACCCGACTAAGAAATATATTATTATACAGGATGTTCAAATGGAGTGATTATCATCATAATCATTTTAACCGATAGTAATAGGATAATTTAGTTTGGTTAATTTGACTATTTGGTTTGGTTTGGCTTAATTTTTTTAGCTTGTTTGGTTTCAGACACTCCTAATTAATCAATCAAACCAATGAAGTTATATTTAATGTTATATACTCATATTTTGCATACCATGCAAGAGTCAATCGTTCCTTCCTTTTGGACCCATCAGAAAAATAAAGCTCATTATTATTCTCATACTATATTTGTTTTTGTAGACTATAGAGAACATGAACACCTAATTTAGATAAATGGTTATAGGTATAATATGCCCTTCTATTATGCGGTTTTATCAAACATGCTCCTCTACTATATTTTACATCAAACATGCCCCTATACTTTGTAAAAACAATCAAAGATGCCCTTCTGTTAAAATTTTCATAAAAAAACATCAACTGTGGTCGAACCTTGGTTTGGGCGACACATATGTCTAAAATATTCCTAATAATTTCACTTTAAAATTGTTTTGTTTCTTTTGCATAGCCAAATACCTCTAATAATTTAACTTTGTGGGATTAGTGGTATTTTTTCCTGCTGTCCCTCCTTCCATGGTGTGCGGTTGTTTGCTGCTGCTGTTTGTCTACAGCCTTGTGTTCTAACGTCTAATTTCTTTTCCTTATTTTTAATATATATCACCATTAACAAAAAAAAAATCATTTTAACGAGACCTGGAGAAATAAATGAGGAAAAACTGAAATTTCACCCTCAATTTTTTCGATGTCGGGTCGTGTGAATCTCGGTTTAACCGTCGTTTACCATTTTTTATGGAAATTTAACAGAAGGGCATGTTTGATAATTTTTTCAAAGTATAAGGGCATGTTTGATGTAAAAAATAGTAGAATGTCATATTATACCTATAACCCTAGATAAATCTCATACATTATGTTGGATGAAAATTTGAAAGCGTGGGACATTTTCGCCTTAAGATAATTGCTAAAACACTAAGACAATTTACATAGACATACCCAATTCATGAACCACATACCACTCACATGTATTTTTGTTAGGCGAATACTTCTAATTACTCTAAGATAATTATATTAGTTGCATGTATTTGTGAAGAGTTAACTATGTGTTGATTATTATATTTTATTAATAATGTAAATCACAGTTTGATGCATTAATAAGAGAATTTTCCTCTCATGTACTGTCAGGTTATATTTTTGTATTAGTTTGTAGCTTTGATTATAATATTATATTTTATGGTTAATAAAATTTAAATTTAATTGATTTAATAATTATCATGGTAACTATTTAAACACTCTTAATTGCAACACGAAGTGCTATCATAGAAATATAGCACTATATACGTGACTCAATGGCTCGATTAACTTTTATGATTTACAATCCATAATAATTAATCTTTACTCACAATCTGAAATAATTGATACATCTTGATTAAATATGACACGAACGAAACAAAATTGGGTTGGTTCATGCTGGAATGATTAATGATTTAAAATATAATTTGTGTATGTTTACATTGGCTTTTTTCAGCGACGTTTACATAATTACATTGGCTTTTGTTACGTTGAAAATGGATTACAAGTCAATTATTTGGATGGACGAACACTAGTTTACCTCTCCATGAATTGAACGCTAATGAATCATGTGATTAAAATAGGGGAATGGGTCCAAATCAAAAGGTTTTGTAATTCACGTTGATATGAATTACTCTTCAACTTCCACAATCTGAATGCAATCAGCTCACTATGCAATGCAATGGTTGATTGATCCCCTGCCCTGGCTCTGCTGCTGTATATAAAAGCAGAGCATGTCAGCCTAAGAGAAGTCACAACTCACAAACCCTCTCTTTTAGTTCATCATACACCTCACTAATTAGGAGCCCACAAGCAATTCCCAAATGTCAATCCTGATGAATAGCAAGTTGTTCTTCCTCGCTTCCATCTTCATTCTGGGAGCTCTGGCTTCTCAAGCCATGGCACGCTCTGCCCCTCACGAGGCCGTCATGCGCCTTAGGCACGAGCAGTGGATGGCTCGTTTTGGGCGAGTTTACAGGAGTTCAAACGAGAAGGAGGCACGGTACCAGATATTCAAGGACAATGCAGATATCGTCGACTCGTTCAATGCCGCCGGAGACAAGCCTTACAAGCTAGGTACCAACCAGTTTGCTGATCTCACGAACGAGGAGTTCAGAGCAACCAGGAACAGGTTCAAGGGCCACATGTGTTCGGCGCAGCAGGGACCCTTCAGGTACGAAAACGTGACCGCAGTGCCCACCACCATGGACTGGAGGAAGAAGGGAGCCGTCACTCCAATCAAAGATCAGGGTCAGTGCGGAAGCTGCTGGGCGTTTTCAGCTGTTGGGGCCATGGAAGGAATCACTCAGCTAAGTACCGGCAAATTGGTATCCCTTTCAGAGCAAGAATTGGTTGACTGTGACACCAAAGGAGAGGACCAAGGTTGCAGCGGCGGGTTGATGGATGATGCTTTCAAATTTATCATCCAGAACAAGGGTTTGACTACCGAGAGCAACTATCCGTACAGTGCTGCCGATGGATCCTGCAGTGCTAGCAAAGAAGGCAACCACGCGGCTACGATCAAAGGGTATGAAGATGTGCCAGCCAACAGCGAATCCGCATTGCTGAAGGCGGTAGCTAGTCAACCGATTTCCGTGGCAATTGATGCAGGGGATTCCTCGTTCCAGCTCTACGAGAGCGGGATATTCACTGGAGAATGTGGGACTGAATTGGACCATGGAGTGACCGCTGTCGGATATGGTGAGAGCGGCGGGATGAAGTACTGGCTGATCAAGAACTCCTGGGGAGCTCAATGGGGAGAGGAAGGATACATCCGAATGCAAAGAGATATTCCTGCTAAGGAAGGCATATGCGGCATTGCTATGCAAGCTTCTTACCCCACTGCCTAAAACCAAAGCTTTTACTATACAATTACCATGCATGCAATACTGCTTAATGCATATATTTATGCTTGTAAGATAGCTTTGTGAAGTGCTTTATGTAACTATGTATTATGTACTTGTTTATTGTTATCTCCTGTAAACAAAAGAGATTTGCTTCTATGCCGATACCTTCAATGTATTATGTAAATCTATATGTCCAGTAATTAAAATCTTCCTTTCTCTATCTTCGTTTTCTTATTTTTCATTGGCAATTGAATTGGATTGGTGTATGGATCAAGTGGATTGGATCAAATGGATTGTTGGATTGGATCAAGTGGATTGGTGGATTGATACATGAATCCAAATGACATCCAAGTCTTGGACCATTATATAAATTTAGAAAAGTTTAGGTACTAAAATGTCATAATAAAAATTTTCAGGTAACAAATCTTATTTTCCAATGATATTTTCCAATTTTCCAATAATTTGCTATTTGGATCCATGAATCAATCTAGCGGTGACTATACAGTCCAGTCCGGTTAAATTGACATTAATTGATCCGGTCCCGGTCCGATCTTTTCGGAAATACAAGGACCAAAGATTGGATTGGATACAGTCTGGTCTTTATCCGGTCCGGTCTTGAACCAGTTTGGTCTCAATTTGGTCTTGATTTTAGATTGAGCTTGTGGGGATTTGAGTGGCCTGAGGCCTGAAAGGGTGAGGAGTTGGTTAAATTTTGGGTGTTGGGCTCTCTTATCCGGTCTTTATTCGATTTTCTGTTCGGTCTCGAATGGTTTTTCCTTTAAATCCAAGCCCAAAGATGGGATTGGATTGTTTGCTATCCGGTCACGGTCAGGTTTAGGATAATACCAAAAAGATCGGACCAAATAGCCACCCCTAAATCAATCCATGAATCCACCAATCCAATTGGATTGGATTTAAATGAGTTGGATTAGTTGGATATTTAAATGAATGGATTGGATTGAATTGGTGGATTGGATCATTGCAACCTCTATCTGTATTGTGTTGTTTTTTTTATGAAGGTGAAAGATGCATTAAAAAGAAAAAGAAGAAAGAACATGAGCCAGAGAGTTGCACAAGAGGTGCAAACTCCCAACCCAACAGTCCAAAAAGTAACAACATAACAATCCCAGGGGAAACAGCCCCCAACCGATAAGACCAAAAAACAAAGGGGAAAAGTCACCAGAACTTCCCCAGCAACACCTCCAATCTCAACCTACAGCACCCCCGATCACTGCAACAACGCCGCATAAGACAACAATACAAAAGAGCTACAGGCCAACTAGATCACAGGCCCTCCATCCACTCCCAAACTTGCTCCATGCAGATCCTACCACGAGCAGCCAACCCATCCAAAATTGAGGCCATTGACTTCTAGAAGACAACAGCAGGACTGAGAGCTTGATCCCTAAAGATTCGCTGGTTTCTTTCCCTCCAAACCTGCCAACAAATCACATGTAGAGCACCATACAAGATCCAATCATTCATATTATCTGGTTTATTGCTATCCCATCTCCTAATGGTTGTTAAGATGTCGCTCCCAGGCAGGATCAGATTGCTACATCTTCTTCCCATCGTACTCCAAACTTGCATGGTATAGGGACATTCAACGAACAAGTGATTAATAGTTTCCTCCGAATTGTAACACAAAGAGCATCTATTGGCCAAGG